GTATAAGTGTGTTAAAAGATACTTACAAGCTTAAATGAGTACTTATCGGTAATAACTTCCGGAGAAAAATAGCGCAGAAACTGGACAAGGATTTGGTTATGCGTTTTGATATATGTATATGCTAAGTGTTTAGCTTTAGGCTTTACAGACCCTTGAATGTCACAAACCCCTCTCCAGCATCCAGCCCTACATTATTTCCATTGAATACCGTTTCAGACAGATATATGTCAAATTATGGAAGTAAAATGGATAGCGAATAGTGTTTCACATTGACTTCAAAGGTAGGTGAACGTGATTTCACCAAGTACAACATGTTCCTGGATAAACATCCCAATTAACCAATCAGAATTGAGGGATACATTTACAGGAAATGTCTGTTTTAGGCTTACAACAAGGGTTAGGTTTTCTGCACCCTTGTTATTCAGCTATCATTTACATGTGATATTTGGGATAAATTATAGGTAGGGTTAGGTTTAGGGGTAGGGATAGGGTTAGGTCTATGTTTTGGACATTAATGTTGTTACAGGATCAACAAAAGATGTTGATTCAAAACATGTCTGACTTGGCAAAATCATGGTGACCCTTGATGTATGATCTCATATTTTGACATATCTCTGTAGAAACACAAATAAGAATGACTTGGTATTTTGCATGCTAATACTATTTGAGTGAAACCTAAAATTAATAACCAAAGTGATTAAATACTTATGGTCCTCTAAATGTTGCCTCTGCCAATTACGAGTGATTCTAAAAAATACGCCGATGATACGCATAATGTAGACGCCAAACTATTAGTCTGTAACTACTATCAGATTCTCTATGCTTAATATCTTCAGTTTTCCGTTGGGACTCATCCAGCCTGCTCTCTCTCTTCCCGCCGGTGGCTGTGTGTGATGGAGTTATTTCATTTTTCTATAAAACACTGATGTGGGGGAAGCTCCAAGCCTCCAGAGAACTCCCCACCACTAACAAGCTAAATTAAACCCGTGAAAGACAAACAAGGCAACAAAGAAACACAGTTACTCACACACACACACACAAACTTCTCTTTAACCCACCTTAGTTCCTCCCAAGGCTAATTAAAAGCGCTTCGTAATTACTTAAGTCACTGATTTTGCAGCATAATTAGATGCTCTTTATTCCAATTGCTCCTGTTGCACCAGGTATTCTCCTAAGATTTGATATATTGGTGGCTTGTGTTGTGCAGGTTTGATTCTTTTAGGTTGATCTGATTAATACGTGACTTTGACAGTCGTAACCATTTCCTTTCTGCCTCAATCATACATCGCTCTTCCTTTTTTATCATTCCCTCACTCTTTTCCTCTCCTCTTGTTATCCAATTCCATCACTCGCGGAGGGTAAACCAATTTACATTCTTGTTTTGGTCTTCAGATCCTTGCCAGTTTCCATGACAACACTGCTTTCACACTCTTTATCCCCCTTTCTCCTCCTCAGGATCTTTCATTCCCCACTGTTTCGCTCTCCTCCTTTACTCTTGACCTTCCTCTTCTGTCTCATTTTCGTTCTCTTTATATTCTGTTTGGTTCTTGCATCTAACTCTCATTTCCTTGCCTAATTGATGCGGTTGCTGTCGTGGCACGCAGCGGCTGACGGTAACAGTGTAGAAGGGATATGGGCAGGAGGGAGATGCATCCCAAACGTCTGTATTAACACACATCACGCTCTCTGTGTGTTAAATGATCAGTGCCGGAAGGGAATGATTTGGGCTTCTCTCGGTCTCTGTTTCAAAAGGCTGTCTGGTCTCTGATGCTTTTATTTGCTGCTGTTTGCAGACCGAGGATCATTTTATACAGGCGATATCATTAAATAATTGTGTGAATGGCATTAATCATCACATTCGTTGGGTACGGGCGTATAAACTACTCATTATTCGGGATTAAAAAGATGTTCTGTTACTGTTCCAGAGACCTTGTGAAGTCATTTTAAAATGAACTTCTTCCACTTCCAAACATTTTAATGTGCTTCCATGCATTTTCCAGAAATGTGACCATGTTTATCTAACATCATTACTTGGCTCTCTTGGAACACTTGATTCTGATTGGCCAATCATGCATTCTGTGGTCAAATATTTGTGTGTAATGGCTGCTAAACTATTTAATTGACCGTTGTCCCAAGCAACCAATTTCCTACACAGCTAGTTTCATGTCTCTGGTAACACACTGTGGTCTCATTCTTCTCACATATTACAATTATTTGAAATTAAATGAATATTTCATGTCAGTTTCTGTGTTTATTTGATAAGCAGCCATGCAATAGCAAGATGATGTCCATTCAGTTGGTCATTATTGGAAAATAAACCTCTTAAAGATGACACACAACCACTCTGTTGGTGTTTAGTATATGATAATGTCCGGCTGACTGTACATTATTCCTTACTACGTTGTTTCTGTTTAGGGTCAGTTAACCTCAGCAACACATTAGTTGCATCCCAATTCACATGCACTGTTCTGTTTTATAGTTGAAATAGTGTGAGTAGTGCATTCACACTGAAAAGTTCAACAACAAGAAGTGCACTTCAAATGCTGGGATGATGCACTTATTTAACAAAAAAATTTTTTGGAATGCACTTCATGCACTCAACCGTCACAGCTTTCCTTCTAAACCTTCTAATATCCATTCACTAGATGGTTGAGTAGCCTACATCATAGTGCATAATGTACAGTACACTCTTAAAAATAAAGGTGCTTTAAAAGGTTCTTCACAGCGATGCCATAGAAGAACCATTTTTGGTTCCACAAAGAGCCATTCAGTCAAAGGTTCTTTAAAGAACCTTTGACTGAATGGCTCTTTGTGGAACCAAAAATGGTTCTTCTATGGCATCGCTGTGAAGAACCTTTTAAAGCACCTTTATTTTTAAGAGTGTATGTCATTTGGGGCACAACTACTGCCTTACAATTTTCCTCACCTTAATACCATTCCAAACCTGCACAGAAAAACCAACTGACTTTTATTGTATGCACAAAAACAAAAAAGGAAAAAAAAGTTGTAATTGTATTGTATGCACAAGATAGAAGGTCATTCAAGTTTGGGACAATATGAGGGTGAGTACATTTTCATTTGATCATTTAACTATTATAAAGTAAAAAAAAACTATTATAAATGATATTTTATAAAGCGGACAAAAAAATTAAAATTCTGTCGTCATTTACTCAACCTCATGTCATTCAAAACCTGAAATGACTTTCTTTCTTGTGTGGAACATAAGAGAGAGAGACAAAAATTTAAGAATGTTGGTAAACATTATTGAATTCAACAGTTGGCAACCAACCATTGAATTCCAATGTATTTTTCCCATTGACTTGCATATAATTAAAATCAATGGGAAAAATACTATAGCATTCAAAGGGAACCAATATTGTTTGGTGACTTGAATACCAACATTTTTCAAAATATCTACTTTTATGTTGCACAAAAGAAAGAAAGTCATACAGGTTTGCATAAAATTGAGTAAATGATGACAGAATCAGAAAGATTTTTGGGTGGACTAGCACTTTAAAGTGTGTTTTCAAGCAAGCAGAATGGCCTTAGGGTCTATTGGATGCCAAACTGAGCATGAGGGTTAAATCCAACGATTTTGACACAAGTTTGTATCTCTACAACGATTCTTACTGTCTTTTTAAGTATATTTCATTCATCTCTCTCTCTTTCCCACTTTCTCCTCAAGGCTTGGCACTTGAGAGTGTAATACAACACCAGATTTGGGAGACAAAGAGAAAGAGCCCAGTTCTTTTCAGGAATACACTTTTGCCAGTGCAAAATATCATTCCTTTTTTGTGTGTGTGTGTAAACCACTCTGTCCATTCAGCAGGGTTTACTACATAAATTTAACGGCATAATCCGAATCCCGAATTTCTCCAGGTTTCATCATGCATACGTCATTATAACGCATGTTTCCTCAGGGTAAAAAAATATAAACACAACCAGCTCATAAAGGAGCTATTTGTATGCGCACAATTAGATTAGCGTAGCTTCAGTTTAGAGAGGGGTTGATTTCTCTGTGGTGTAACTTTTGGTGCATTTAGTACAAGCCTGTCGGATATGAAACTATGGTTAATTCACTTTAGGATGCACATTTACATAATCATAGTTTTGTTTTAGAAGATTTGTCTGCTTTGACAACCTAACAGTAAAATACTAAATTCATCAGGGCTTCACTAAAGAGACTTTTTGGACTTTTAACAGTTTCCTGCACCACCAGAGGGAGTGCTTACCTGTGAAATGATGTCTGAACACCCAGCGATGAGGGTCCAAATGTATCAGAGGGTATCAAGCCTCCCGGGGAGAGAGCGCTGATCTTGGCATATGCCAGGTAAGGAGTGATCTAAGAGAGCTGATACATCTGATACCTCTGTTGTCAGGTCAGGTTATGTGTCTGATGTCTCAGACAAAGCAGACGTGAGCTTCATTCACCCAATCACAATTGCATAACTGTGTTCCTCAGTTTTAGTGAACCAATAAAGAAACATGCTCCTGTGTTATATATATATATAAAAAAAACATATTTTATCTGTCTTAAATGATCCTGGCTATTTGAAAGGTGTGATTGGCAAATTGTTGTAGTGGTAGGCAAAACAATACATGGGCATAAGTGAGATCATATAACAATTATATTGTAATGACTTGTTTACCACATTTACTATGGGATACACACTCACACATTGAATATTATTTTTCTTTTAATTTGATGATTTGTAAAAAAAAAAAATCTTCTTTTATTGTGAAATTATTTTATTGTGGTACTTTTTATATGAATGTATGTAGCACATAATATATATGTGCGTGTCCTGTATTTGTATTTATTTTCTTTGATTTTGTTTGCATGTGCAATCATATATATATATATATATATATATATATA